ATTGCCGAGGGTGTATGCTTGGTGAAATTAGTTGCAATGACTGAGCCGGTACGGATCGCTCCTTGTTTATTTTCGCGGATCAGGATCTGATCTACTGGCCCTTGCACACGCATATGTAAGACAGCGGTCGTCCGTGGATGTGCCATCTACACCTGCGCCCGCAAAAGCCAGCCATGATCCCGCCCCGTAGGAAGATGTGTATGCAGGAATCCGGTTGAACGAGACATGGCGATAGATTCTCCCTTCTGGATCACCGATCGTGAAAGCCTGAGGGACCCAGAATACCGAGCGTATTGGGAAAGGGAACAGATCCGCCGGCAGCGAACTCGACAACATCGCCACCTATGGAACCCGGGGTATCTTGAGTACCCCTGCCGGACTGAAAACGAGCGACTGTGCAGGGGCGACTTCCAGCTGGCAATCAACCGAGACTCGCGGATTCCCGATTATCCCGACAGCTGAAACCAGCAATATCCTAACCCCAGGCTTCGTTGCCATTACCACTGACTTCCCTCCCTACTATACCGTCCTCCCCTACCATCGGTTTCTCGTGGTCCCCTGGGATTCCATTGCCCGGTTTTGGCCCCGCCCGCCGTGCTCAGAGTGTCGGCAGCCCGACGAGCCTCCACAAGCGAGGATCGCGCAACGAGCCCACCCCAGGGCCGAGCAACGAGAACCCAGTTCGTCTTCGTCGAACCCCGAGATGTGCGATGGTCGGCAGCGGTACGAGCACTCACGCAGAGACATCCGCAGCACCCCACCCCGGCCCAGGCGGCACGATCGGTCATCGCCCCAACTCTGAGCCGGAAGGCACTTGCACTCTTACCCCTGAAACTCGCCACAGGAGATCTCAGTTCCGACCTGGGACTCCACCCCAAATTCCCAAAAATCCTTGGCACACCCCTTTTCGCACTTCCGGGCCCCCATCCCACTCCGATCAGGAAGTCGTGCCGGGCGTGAGGTTGGGCGTCACACCGCATCCTCCTCTCCGCCGATGAACTGTTCCAACAAGGCAGGATTGGTCTAACACCAAACACTAGACTTCTGAACAGTGTGCGTGCGTACTGACTGAAGATGCATGACCTAGGGACCCCCTTCCTCTTAAACCACCAGTACGTGGCCCAGCTATCGATGCCAAGCCTGAATATGCCCTGCGCGCCCTTTCTCGCCGACCCGCCAGCGAAACAAAAAAAAATCGTTTTGGCTGGCGGCGTCAGCCTTTCAGGTCCGGTACCCCGAGCCTCCGAAACTTGCGGGGCGTTAACGACAACGCCGCGCGGCCGAGAGATGGGCCAAGTACTGGTGGTTAAATAGTTCCATCCAATCATCACTTCCGGAGATTCCCGGAGCACCCTTCCATTTTTCGGCGCAAAATCGGAAAACGCACTCATGACAAGAGACAGGGGATCGAGCAAACGAAAAAAAGAGAGAAAAAAATAAAAAATAAAATCAAAAAGGAAAAAGGAAAAAGGAACCCTGTGTGGGAGAGTGTTGGACTTAGACACTGCTGTTATTCGGTTGGGGGTGGGGGACGATGAAAAGGGAGGCGCAGCTACTGGCAAAATGCTCGGTCTCTGCGCTAGCCGGACCCCCACCGGCGGCCACACCCCATCCTTGACTACCGTGGTTGGGGCGGGGGGCAACATGCATCCCCTCTGATGGATGGAGGGAGACAACAAAGCTATGCTTGCAGGGGTCCCCTGTCTAAGCCTTAGGAGTAGTGGTAGGTAGGTAGTGAAGGTGAATTGAAAGAATTTGAAAGATGATGAAAAGATTTGAGAGAAGAATATAGCGTAGTTAAAAAAAAAAAAAAAAAAAAAAAAAAAAAGAAAGAGGACAGCTGTGGCCCTAAGACCCTGTCGTTTTTTTCTATATAAAAAAAAGACCCTGTCGTTTCTTCTACCGCAAAGGTCGTCAGTTCGAAGCTAAGCATTGTTCCTTTAAAAAAAAAAAAAAAAAAGGATTCAAATACTGACCCTTGGCGTGATTTTTACTTGTGCGCCATCTTGCAGTGCCGGCCTGTTAAAAACCACCAGTACCTTTCCCAGCTATTTTTTCAGTGGCGCGCCGGGTAACACGCCGGCCTGAAAAGGAAGGGCGAGGGCGGCCGACGATAAATAGAATCGGCGGCCAGTCTTGATTTTGGGGCCAGCGCGCAGTACTCGCGGCTGACATATGGGAAAGGTTCTGGTGGTTTGATCCCGCAGTAAGTGTGAGCATTGGATTATTCGTGTACGTTGGGTACCTCTTACCCGTTCTCGGGTCCAGCAAAGGGACCATGCATATACTGCATGAGGAGGGGGACATCATCAAGGCTTTTTTCATATACGAGGGAGGGCTTATCTTCCTGCAGCTCCCCCTTTTTTTGCTGGCGTATCTCCAAATTCAATTCCCTCTCTGTGTGTGTGTGTGTGTGTGTGTGTGTGTGTGTGTGTGTGTGTCACTCACAGAATAATTGGAGATACCACAAGGGGGCTGTGTTATGGGATGCTCAACACTCGCCTAGTGTAAGCAGGTGGTTATGGGTAGTGCAGTGTGCTCCTGGCCTGTCCAAGGTTTGATGTAGAGTGAGCGCAGCGGCCTTGGATTGTTCAGTGGAGGGTAATGGTCGTTTACACATAACCGGACTGCTGTCAGGACGTCCGATTAAAGCTTTTACTTAAATATACCACCAACAAGTCGGGTTGGTGTAGTTGGTTATCACGCCAGTCTCACACACTGGAGGTCTTGGGTTCGAATCCCAGATCCGACATTNCCATGAAGTCGGGTTGGTGTAGTTGGTTATCACGCCAGTCTCACACACTGGAGGTCTTGGGTTCGAATCCCAGATCCGACATTGTCTTCTGCACCACATGACTGAAGTCGGGTTGGTGTAGTTGCTTATCACGCCAGTCTCACACACTGGAGGTCTTGGGTTCGACTCCCAGATCCGACAACTGAAGCGTATCAGACACCACACTATTTGGGCAATATGCAACTTTACCGACGTGACGGACATCATGTTAAGCCATTCTGAAGTACTGTAGCATCTACCAGACAACCCCGCTTTTGGGGTGATAACACTGATAAGCGACTACCAGTACCTACCACATTTTTCGTACCCATCCGGGTCGAATGAATATGGACCATAACACTGATAAGCGACTACCAGTACCTACCACATTTTTCGTACCCATCCGGGTCGAATGAATATGGACCCGACGGGCAGACCGATTCGGCTACCGCGTTAACGGCCGCAACAACCGGTTGGTACTGATGCGTTCAACCGCAAGTACATGGCCTCAGCCTTGCAGAAAGTTTTTGACACTTTTTGTTGCCACAAGCAGAACTCGGATGTGCCGCACGGCAAGGGGCGCCGTTGGGGAAAAAAAACCGTCGGCCTCCGGAGTGGTGCGGGTTTCATCCTGACACTCGCGGACCGATATTGTGGTGTACTGGTGCTTTAAGCAACAATAGCAGCCCGACTTGCATGCAGAGCCACTACACATCCACCCTGCTGGTTTGTTAACCAACTACACTTGGTACCTGGTCAACCTTATGGTGTTGATGCGTATGCATCGATACCTTGGCTTGGCAGTCTTGTTGTATGCTTCGCAAGACTCTTCATCACCCTCTGAGTCATGCGATACCTGCAGTTGAGGAATTCTGAATTTCTGAACCTACTTCGAGCCATTTTTTTGCTGAGATCCCAGTTTCCTGCACTCTTTCCCCATGGAGAAGGATGTAGATTCAAGGAATTGACAGCCAAAAACAGAGAATCCTCCTCGTAAACCACCAGTACCTCCTAAAAGTGCTCCGCGTTAACGGCCAGCCAAAAGTGGAAATCGCACCGTTTCCACTTGGGTGAATAGGGGCTACCAGCCCAGGCCTGTTAACGCGGAGCACTTTTAGGAGGTAGTTGTGGTTTAAGTTGGACCCCCCAGCATGGTGTCGTCGTTGTGCGCGATCTTGTGAACGGAGAGTGAATTTCGTCGCACACGGATGCTTGGCTCCACAGATTGGGGTCAGGTTGGGGTGAGATCTGAGGTCAGATTTGAGTTTAGGTTCTTTTTTTTTTTTTTTTTTTAAGGGTTTGGGTGAAGCATGATTGTTGGGGTCGGACCATATTTTCGAAAACGAAGTTGTGCTGTTTTGGTTGATTTTATGAATATGAGACCCACACCTTGACACCTAAAATTCCGTAATAAGGAGTCGATGCTTCGAGCATGTGTGCTCCCCAGAATGGAAAAGGAGCCTGAACCATGACGTTCTGTTTTTTTTTTTTTTTTTTTTAATTAAAAAAAAGGATTTGGGTCAAGCATGATTGCAAACGCAGACTGACCTTCCTCTCACATATATGCTTGTCTTCACTGATTGGGGTCAGGTTGGGGTCAGATTTGGGTAGGAATCAGCTCTGTGGTTGTCTGTGCGACTTACCTGTGGCTTGTGCGCGCACGTTGCGGTACCTGCTGCGCCTGGCCAATTTTTGTAGGGGTCCAGCCACGGTCGGGCTCTTTTAAGGAAAAAAAAAAAAAAAAAAAAAAAAAAAAAAAAGATTTGGGTAGGAATCGAGTTATATTTGGGTCAAGCACGATTGGGGTCGAGGATGTGTGTGACCCGATCGTCCAAAACTACAGAACCAACGAACTGTAGATTCACAGGAATCTATGGCCAAAAATGCAGAATCCAGGCAAGTGGGACCTTGTGGGACCAGGCGGGACCTAGCGGGACGTACTGGGACCTAATATGGTCGTCACCTGAGTCGAATACCTGGTCATTATCACTGTAACTGTGCTTAAAAGTGCACCAAATACAGCTAAATAATGAGCGACCGTTCTCTTCCGGCGAAGACAGTAGCGGGACCAATTGTGACCTTGCCTTGCGCATGGTGTCCTCATTGAGCATCTGTTGAAGAGAGTGGCTTTCCGCTCACACGTTTGACAACTTTGACTTTTTCACTTTGACTTTTGTGTTGACTGGTTTTGATGGATGTCGTCTTTTTTTATGTTGGCCTCGTCCAGATGCAGAAGTGCCTCGCAGCCGTGTAGACAAGTAGCGACGATCTTTGCGGTAAGTTTTGCAAACTGTCGCCTACTGCAGCTGTGTTTGACAGCCGATGGTCTGAGTATTTCCTCAAAAGCTCACCATAAGTGAATTGTCAAGCAACAGAAAAAAGAGGATCATACCCAAACAAGAGTCGTGTGTGTTATTGAATGATCATTGTGAATTTTAGGGAATATATCAGGGCTGGCGGCTGTAGTTTTCTTCATGAGTTTGTATGTGGCGTCTTGCTTGGGTTCAATCCGTTCGCGTATTTCTTGACAGTTTCGGAGCATCAGTTTGACGTCACGCCGGCACTACCGTCTTCCCCTGAATATAATGCACGGTCATTATAGCCGTACTTGGCTCACCTTTGTGTCCAGGTGCGGCGAAAATGACCGCACTTTCTATTCGGGGGGAAGAAGGAAGGTAGTACCATCTTCCCCTCAGTAGAAGGTACCATTGTTTTTGGTGCTGTATGTAGGCAACTTTCGGGCCAGGTACGGATATGATGATCATGACTTCTTTTTGAAGGAACACAGAAGAGAACTTTTCTGACTGATCCTGACAACGAAATATTGTTCATGCTCGCATTCCAACTTCAAACTCGATCATTTCTCACCTATTTTCAATTTCTCACCTATTTTCAATTTCTCACTAGGCTACCAGAGTGGCCCGGGTCCACTTGCCCGGCCGGGCCAAAAAGATATAAAAAAATAATAAAAGAAAAAAAATTAATAATTTTTTTTTTTAATTTTATTTTAAATTTGGTAAAGAAGTTCGATGTGACCCTTAGGCAAAAGTTGTTCAGTTTATTTTTCTGCATAACATAGTTTTTTTCCGGATTTTTTGGATTTCTTTTTATTTTTTATTTTTGGCTGGGACCTTCCCTGGTCCTTGCACGGCCGGGCCGCCCGTGAAAATAGGGTGACCCGGGCGGCCCGGCTGGTAGCCTAGATTTCTCACCTATTTTCAACTCCCCACCAAGTGGCACCAACCAAGTAGTACCGCGCCTCGACAGTTTCTGATATGGAATCTGAATTTCTCAATGCGTGCCTACTCGAACAACCATCCCCCATTCCCGCCCCCGCCCTCTCTGGGGAAAAAAAAAAAAATTAAAAAAATTAAAAAACACCCTACCATCCTCCCCCAAGCACAACCATCTCCCACAATCATGAAATGTGAAGTTGTGAACTACCCAAATGCAAAAATGAAGAAAGTGCCAAAAACAAAAAATGCAAAAAAAATTGCAAAACATTGCAAAAATTTGCAAATAAGTGCAAAAAAGTGCAAAAAAGTGCAAAAAAGTGCAAAAAAGTGCAAAAAATTGCAAAAAATTGCAAACAATTGCAAAAAAATGCAAAAAAATGCAAAATTGCAAAATGCAAATATGCGGAAATACAAAAATGCACAAATGCACAAATGCAAGAAACGAGAATGTGTGTGTAGTCCCGGTGTACTGAGGATGGTGAAAACTGAAATTCGGAGCAGCTGGCGAAAGGTGGTCGCTTCAACAATGCACATGCCAGAAAAGCACGCAATTAAGAGACACATTTTTTGGAGGCACTGGTTAATACGGGGCAAGAAGATCGCCACCATGACAGACAACAGGCTCTTGGTTTGGAAGAAGCGGCATTATTCAGGACAGCGGAACAGCAGGATGGAAGGAGGAACATCCCCACGATTCTCACTATAAGTCAAGCTGTATCAGACAGGACAGGACCCGAAATGGGAGCTGAGAGGAAGAGTAGGGAAGGGCAAGCTGACAGTAAATCCTTCTCAAAGGGAAGGAGTAATCAATGGTGGTCAGCGATCCTTCGGCCAAACGGAAGGATGCAGTGCGGGAGGGTGTTCACCATGAACTTCGGGTCTTGAGTCTCAACTTGGGGGGGTGGGGGGGGGGGTTGAAGGAACAGGACTGACGCTCCCCAGAATCCCTGTTCCTTATACACCCGCACTTTCTTAGTTTTCTGAAAAGAAAACTAAGAAAGTGGGGGTGTAGTGGGGTGTGAAAGGTAGTGGACATAATAGTGCATGGGTCCTGGGGACCAACTCACGCAGATGTGCATACATCAAACATCGTCTTCACACTCAATGGACACAGTTGCCACACACGAGACAAAGGTAGATGAGAATAGGACCAAGACCCGTCACTTATATTATCAAAAATTATGATTACAATGAGTTCACAGTT